GGTGATGTGCAGGGTAGTAGGCTTTGACGTTTTGCCCCCTCTTCACCCCCAACGCATTGCAAGACCGGAATGGAAAGGGGGGGGGGGGGGGGGGGGCTTCTGACTCCGTGGAGGTTATTACAGGAGCCTCTTCCTCCGCCCCTCCCTGCCTCCAGGAGCGTACCTTGCTCTGTGGCCATCTGCTGCGCCTGCCTCATTCAGGGGGGCAAAGGCTGTGATCTCCTATTATGCGGGATAATCCCCCAGGAATGTTTGGCCAGGGAGGTTGCTGGGTGCAAGGTGTTGAACTGGCACCCTCGCACCCGCGGCCCCAGAGGGGCAGCAACGGGGGGATTCTTCCCAAAAGAGGGAGACCCATGCCAGCCCCCCCCCCCTTTCAGGCTTTGAACTGGCTTTGCTTCAGCAGAGAGGAAGATCAGACCACACATTTCCATGTCTTCTGGGCTCACTTTACTCCTTAAAAATGGAATCGTAATGGCTTTATATAAACAAAATATTAAGATTTTGGCATTGTAGAACAGTTGTGACATTTTGAAAATTGAACTTTGCTTTTTATTAATGGATTTTTAAATGTTAATTTCTTCTTTCGTTTCGGTTTAATGGATGGTTTTTCTGCTTTTTTGGGGTGGGAGGGGTTATCTAGTTTCCTTTTTGTTTTCAGTTAGCTTTGTTTTGGTTTTTCCTTTTATGCGTATCTTTTTTCCTAAAAGTGTTATTGTTTATACATACGGTAAACTTGTAGCCAATTGTAACTATTTAGGAAGCTCTGGAAGACAATTGAATTAATTTTTTTTAAACATTACAAGTCAGTAAAAAGCATATATTAAAACCCTAGACAAAAGAATTAAAGCCAAACGTGACCTGGGGGATTCCTGTAAATCATGGGCCACCCAGGAACCTGAGAGACGGCCCCCGTTCTCAGGACTGGACGGAGGCTTTTGCATCAGATTTTGGAGGCTAACGCAGCCAAAGCAGACTTACCCTACTGGAGGTGCTTGACCCTGAGCCAAGCTTTCCACCCTCTGCGCAGCCTGCCCTGCCCGTTGCGCCATCAGTCCTGCTGCTGTCGGTCAGGCCCTAGGCACTCGCCAGCCCAAGCGCGACGCTTGCGTGTGTTCGTGTCTAGAGGAGAACCGACTCTCTCGCTGAACGCCCAAAGCCAGCACCGACTGATAAAAGCCTCGCTCTTGACCCGTCCTGAATTGGAATCTGTTGGCTTGCATGAGAGCAAGTTAGGCGCCCCTATGAAAAGAGGGGCTGTTTTTCCTGCTGACGGCAGGTTGTAAAAAGAGCTTTTCTGGACTGGACTAAGGTTCTTCCAACAGGGACACAGCTGAGGGAGGAGGCGGCGTCCTCCCAAGTAGTTCCTGCTGCTTGCAGACCCCCGGGCTCCTTTTGGGGCACGAAGGGAATCTACTCCGCAGCCTTTATAATCAAATGCCAATCTACCCAGGAAGGGATGGACGCAGGCCACCTCCTCCGTGGAGAAGGCTGGCATCCCACGGCCTGGATGTGGCCGACAAAGCCCGGCCCTCAGGAAGGATGGCTGCAGGAGACGAGGAAGCCCGAACGAGAGGGGCTGGCCGCCTTCCTCAGCCTGGTGCTCCCCAGCTCCCCTTGCTGTAGGTGCATTTGGAGGCGTCATGTGGCTGGGGCCCTCGAAGCTTGCTGTCATAGGTGAGCAAGCAGGGCATGCCTTCATTCAGGAACGCATGGCATGCAAGCCTCTGGGTAGTTTCCTGGTACTGCCTAGCAGGTATTTGCTCCTGAGTTTAAAAATAACTGCCTGGAAGGGCCTGAGACCACACTAGGAAGCTGGTAATGGAGAGGCCGTTCCAAGGAAAACAGTTTTTCCTCAGGGCTAGAGAGGAAAAGGGGAAGCTGGCAGCAGAGCAGCCATCGCACAAACCCAGCCTGTCTTCCGCTCCCCTAACAAAGCTGACTTTCCCTGGGCTTGTAGGCCAGGGAAGGCAAGGGAGGACAGCTATAGCTGTAAAACAGCCGTCCTTGGGACGCCTGCGCTGGCTCCCAGTCAGGCATTCGGTGACCCCGAGACGCTTCCTCGGCATCGGACGCAGGTCTTCCTGGATGCGGCTTCCGCAGGAATCTCACGGCACGCTTCGGTCGCAGAAGGGCTTTCTGTGAGTGGAGCTGTTAGGCTGCCTGCTGACTTTGCTTGAGGGCGCAACGATTAACACAAGAAGGGACAGAGATGGCTGCCAACACTGGGGCTTCTGGGGAAGATCACGCAAATTCATGAAGGATAAATGTTGCCACGGGGCACCTGGTGGGGGCAGGGGGTGCTGGGCCGTGCACAGATCTCAGGCCTTTCTCTCCTCACCGTTCGTTCCTCTTCTGATTTCCACACAGGCACGGACCGAAATGGACAAGTACCTCTCTGGCCAAATGCCCCCTGCACCAATGGCAGCAGACAAGAAGTATCGCCGAGAAAGTGCCTCCGTGGTGGACGAGTATTTTTCCACTGAAAAGCCTCCATCTGCACCGTACAGCGTCAACATCAACGTGATCCTTCCGAATACCACGCACTTGCGCACGGGGATCTACCGGCCCGCCAAGTCCCTTGCGCCCTTTCCCCAGATCAAAATGGAACCAGGCACCTGCTTTGCCCAGACCTGCCCAGCCAGCACCGGGGTGACTCAGACCCTGCCGGACTTCACTAGTGTCTTCAGTGTGCCACAGTCCGTGGCCACAAGCAGCATCTTTGTCAAGCAAGAGCTCCCGTGCCCTGAAATCCCCCATTCGGTCAGCCCGCAGCCGGGCCTGCTTTACCAGCTGCCGGGGGACGTGGCGACCGTGGCCCATTCCACCTGCGGCACCACAGCCACCAGCAGCATCCATGGGGTGGCCATGTCCACCGGCAGCTCTGTGCTGGACTCCAGAGCCCTTCCCCGGCCTCTGCGACCAGCGGGGCAGCTCAAATCTTTCCCGGCACCCTCCCAAGGCCTCAGTGGCTTCAATGTGCCGGAGGAGTTCTACCCTGTCCCAGCAGTGAGCCTGCCCCCTTCGCCCCCCAACTCCCAGCCTGGCAGCCCCGAGAACCAGCCCACACCCCTCAACACCATTTCGCCTCCGCCCCCCTATGAGGCCACGTTCGAACTGAAGCAAGCCACCCCGGGCCAGATCGCCTCTGTGCCCAGCACCCTCGGGGCCATCACACAGGGACACCTCATCCTGCAGACGCCCAAGTACAACCGGCGGAACAACCCAGAACTGGAGAAGAGAAGGATCCACCACTGTGATTATCCTGGTAGGAGCCTGGCAACCTTCCGCTCTGGCTGCAAAACCCACATGGGCACAACTGGTGTCAGTGCAGTTGAGACGGGAGCATATTTTGACCTTCTCAGGGCAAACCCAGCAAATTGTGTGTCCCTTAACCACAAATTCAATTCTTGTAGCAGCGGGATGAGACGCGAGGGAGTTGGACACACATAGTCAGGTGCATTGTGTGCTGTTCAAAGGGTAGCTATCGATGCCTGGCAGCAAAATCGCCACCATCTGATCAGAGCGCCCCGCGGGATGGCTTAAAACCAGGCGGGAGCACCTGAAGGACCCTAGCTGCCCTGGCTGACCTCAGAAGCAAAGGCCTCTGTGCCTCCAGTCCTCGGAAGCCCCCAGGGTTATGTTTCCTGCCCATTAACTCCACCTTCCCCAGCAGGGAGCCTCCGTTCTTCTTAGGCACTTAGCAAGAGGAACAGAAACTCAAAAATCACAGGAGGGCAGTTTTCACTACGGTGGTATTTTAACTGGCCCTTTCAGACTCTTCCCTGTGAGGATGGGACCCTCTGTGACAAGATCCCTGCCTGGGAACGGTCTGTCATGCACTCCTAGATCATGATTACTTCCTGGTCCATAAAGGGCAGAGAAACCTCCTAGCCCTTTGCCCAGTCTTTGAATCCAGGCGCTTCCTCCTTAAAGCAACAAAAATCCTGGAAAATGTGCAGGGCAGCACAAGTTTAATGCGGGGTGGGGGGTGGGGTTGCCTTCTGGTATTTTCAAGTGAAGACCGTACTCCAGCATCCTAATTAGAGCTTTAGAAATGAGGAAGAAAGGACAGAGAGAAGCAGAGAGCAGAACACCCAAAGCCTTGTAGCTACTCTATGCCTAACAATGAACTATCACGCCCCCCCACCCCCGGTTATCTTCCTGTTTCTCCACTGCTTCTTCCATCCTCCTCCTTTCCACAACATTTCACCCAAGAGGGATAGATGGAAGACACAACGTCCTCTGAATGGCTGCGCTGGAGGCCACTGAGACGTCACAGGAAGAGGGGCGTTGAAACCGCTTAAGGACAGGGGCTCTGCAGGCAGTCGATGCGTTGGCAAGCGAATGGATCCTCTCAGAAGGCCCGCGAGGGGTTTGGATGAGTGGAGAGGGATCTTTCCCTGGACACCATCAGCCCTTTGGCAGCAATCCCCTCTAGTCCAGCCCCCCCCCCCCCACAAACAGAGTGACGTCAGGCCACACCCCTGGGGAAAACCCATCTGGACCGCCACCTCAAGCCTTCGGTCCTGGCCACGGGCCAGCAGCCCGCCTCAGCCATTCACTCTTCCTTCTGTTTTTTCCCCTCAGGGTGCACCAAGGTTTACACCAAAAGTTCACACCTGAAGGCACACCAGAGGACTCACACTGGTAGGTTAACATGTGCAGATCCTTTCTCAAAGCATAAATCATCCCTCCGAGTCTTCAAGGGGAGAATGTTTGTTCTGAGGGCAGGGCGTTTCCGTTTCCAGAACACTGCTGTTGTTCTTTGGGCTGAAAGCAGAAACTCAGATGGACGCCTCTGAAGACTCAGTTCTCGCCGAAGGGCAGAGCGAGGAGGTGGGCAATGTGGCGGGTGGGCTGGGCTCTCGCTCTGCCTCTGACGGGCAGGGAGGGCTGCAGGAAGCAGGAAGCCGTCTGGCGACTTGAGGGTGCCCCGGCAGAGAGGCCGCCCATGTCTTTCAGCCTGCTGCTTCACGAGGAAGGAGGGACAAAGCAGGGAGCAGCCCCTTCCCTTCCAGTCCTGAAAAACAGCCTGGAAACCATTTTCAGCACTAAAAGGGCCAAATCTCAGTGGCACAATTTTGAGCCATAGTTTGGGGTTGAAGCGGAAGGGCTTTGCTTCCCAGGAGCCCCCTGTTCCCACTCCCACTCTGTGAAGGGGAAGGGGTGAAAGAGCAACACAAAGTCTGCACTGCTCCAAAGGGGCCCTTTTAACCTTGACATTTCTCAGGATGCTCCACGGCTGCTCGCAGCCTGGGATCACCGCCCTGGCTGAGCAGTGAGCCCCCTAAACTCCGTCGAGCGGCTGACGGCCGTCCAAGACGACAGCAGAGGAAGAACAGCCAGGAAGGGCAGCTCTGGGTGCTTGCTCTGTTCCCCGGGCCCTGCTTTTCCATGACCTTGGAGGCGTCATGGCTGGTGGCAAAGCCCCTTCTCTGGAGGAGGTGCCCAGCCGCCCTCAGAAGGGCTGGCCTGCCTGCAACTTGCTGGGCGGGGCGGGGGAAGACAAATGCCCACGACTGTCCTGAGCGCGCTGCAGCGGGCCCCGCGCTCTTAAAGGGGGTGTCCCAGAAGAGGCATGCTGGAGCTCCCGCGACATGGGTGACGTCAAGGCAGCGCAAGGGCCCCTGTGGCCAGGAAGGGCAGTGCAAGGGGGCTCTTCCGTTGGCCCTTCTGGGCAGGGCCGAAAGGAACCGTTTCCTTTGGCAGAATCGCTCGCCATCCTTAGTCCGCGAGGGGGTCTCCTCGGCTCCCTCTGCCTTGGGAGATTCAGTACCCCCTCAGCTGCCCAGCAGCTACAGGGCCATTGTTGTGGCTGCCCTGCCACATTGCCCTGGGAGGAGCTGCTGCTTTGGGGGACAATGGAAAGCATTTGGTTTCGATCTGGAAACTAACTTGGCTATTGTCTGAAGCAGAGTGTGACCTTCCTGGGGACAATGGCTTTGACTCACAAAGCCAACCCCATCCTCACAGGTGGAAAATAACCTGCCAATGTGGTTCTGCACAAACCTGAATGACCCCAGGAGGGGTGTAAAATTCTCAAGATGCTTCACATACATTGCTCTGCAATTTGCAAAGTGCCGCTCTGCCTCCCTGAAGGCCAGAGTGCTAAATTCTGCTCAGGCCTGATCCGGTTCAGGACTTCTTGGCACCCACAGGAGCGAATGTGCAGCATCTGCCCGCCAGGATGCAGCCATGGTTCCCAAAGCGCACGCGAGTGAGCCACGCAGAACACACACGATACATGCCATCACGTATGGCAGCAAAGACGTCCAACCTGGACTCTGATTCAGATCTTTTTTCAGGGCATCACTAATTCCTATCTCAGATTCCCATCCATCCGTGGTTGCTCTGAGAATAAAAGGGGGGGGGCGGAGGGGAGACCTTTGCATTACTATGAGCCCCTTGGAACGGGGGGAGTAAAAGAGTAAGGAATGACATAGCTGTGAACAGGTGTCTCTGTAAGAACAGAGCGCCCCATTGTCCCCAAGTCCACTCGTCCCTGAAAAAGAAAACGCATCAGCGTATTCTGGGTTATTAGCAGTCAGCTAGTTATCTGAATGAGGGCAAGAACCGTGGGTCAATTTGCAACTGTGTGGAAACAGCAGAGTCTGTGTTATCTTGAATGCCACCTTCCACTCCAGCAGTCAAAGACAGGCACACCCGAACAGAGTTGCTCACAAGGCCGCCTATTGCGAGCAAGCAGATGAGGGGGCCACAAGCTGTTCTTCCCTCGGCTGGATCAGACCAGCGGAGTTGTGGGCATCCAGTGGGCTCGCGCAGCCCCAGTCCTGCCAGCGTCTGATCTGGCACCTCGCCCCCGATGTTCTCTTGGGCCAGCTTTAGAACACTTGTGTCAGAACTGGGGTAGCTCTTACGTGGGACCAGCCAAAATCTGGGAGGTGTCACTGCTCATGACAAAACACCAGCTTTTTCAAACAAAGGGCAGAATTTCAGCTATTCTTCCTTCGCCAGTTCCTGGGCTCCTTTTCTAGTTATTCCCAGCTCTGCTGCTAGCAACTCCTGGCCCTTTCGGTTCCCACCACTCACTGCCTTCTCTCCTCTCTGGCACGGTCAGTGAGAGGAGGGCCAGTTGGAGTCATCGGGGTTTCGGTGGGTGGGCATCCTCCCAAGCCCACCCAGGGGAAGCTGGGTTGGGGGCTCTCGGCAGCTGTCTGGACAGTCTGACGGCTCCTTCCTCCCTCCGTTGCAGGCGAGAAGCCCTACCGATGCACCTGGGATGGCTGTGACTGGCGCTTTGCCCGCTCGGATGAGCTCACCCGGCACTACCGCAAGCACACCGGAGCCAAGCCCTTCAAGTGCCTGGCCTGCGGCCGCTGTTTCTCCCGCTCAGACCACCTGGCTCTGCACATGAAGCGGCACCAGAACTAGACCCTGGAGCGCAGGCGCCCGGCAGGGCCACCCTGCTCCCCCCGCACATAAGCGGCACAACTGCGTGGCGATCAAAGGCTGTTCCCCAGGCCACCAACTTTGCTTTTTGAACGCCACAAACTCTGTGGATGCCCAGAAAGGAACCCTGGGCTGGCAATAGAAAAGGGCTTCTCCACAACTCGGTGGTGCTCCAGAAAACAGCCAATGTATTTCCACCTCCCTAAAACCAGCGAGTCTTCCCCAACGTCTCCCTCAGACTCGCTGGGCCTGGAGCCACAGGAAGACATTGACTGTGGGGCTGCTGTCCAAAATGCACTTCTTGGCTCTTCTGTGGTCCAAAAGTCACGCGGAATATCGGTGGCCTTGGCTTGCTTGAAGGATCAAAGTGGTGCAAGTTAAATTGTGGGCGTTGCTGTGTTTCTGCAGCCAAGAAAAAAAAATCCTAACATTTTACACCTAAAACTTCCTCATTGGCAGAAAGACCTGGAAGTGGAGCTCTTTCTCTTCTTTTGCCAAAAATTCTTGAAAATGTATCCATAACTTCGTTGCTTGCCTTGGAGTCTAATCCCTTTGTTAGAAATGGTTTGGATCACGGAGGGAGAAAGACCGCATCGTGGAAGATGCTCTCCTTGGCTGTCCCCTCGGCCTTGCAACGTGCACTGAGAATCTACCCTCCGTGGGCAAGCGGAGGAAAATGACTGCAATAGAACGTTAACTTCTCTCTCTCTTCCTCCTTCCCTTTGCTGCACCAGATTTATGGATTTTTCAAGCAACTGTGGAAACTGTTCCTAGTCAGTCTCCCTCTCCAGGGTTCCCCTACCTCGCAGTTGCACAGCCATGCCAAACTCCGGTGGGATGTTCTAACACACAGGAGAAGTTTGGTTCAAACTCCAAGTTAGATGCAGCAAGGACAGCAGTAACAAAACAGAGAACAAATGCTCCCAGGCTCTAATACCTCACAGGGATGTCTACGGGAGGTGCCCCTCTGTGCCACAGGATCCCCCCACCTCCAGCCCCTTTGCTTGCGGAAGCCAACACCTTGGTTTAGTGGGACTTTCTCTGGAGAAAGCCAAATGAGCCATCTCTTGTGACCCGCACATCCTTTCCTTTTATGCTCTGTGTTTGATCCTGACCGAGGGTGCCATGCCAGTGTCTGCTTATAAGCCAGCCAGCAGGGGGCGTTAAAGGCGGGCCTGATTCCAAGGTTGGCATGTCCCTCTTTGCCTCGATTTTGCCCAGCGGGGCCCTTGGGCTTCCGTTGTCCCATCTGCAGACTCTGTCAGCCTTGGGGAACTCTAGCCCAGAGCCTTTCACCAACCCTGGCATAGCCAAGAGCTGTTCTTGGCTCTGCTGGGAAGGGCTGTGAGAGAGGCCATGCACAGCAGCTGGCACATGGGTGGGTGAGCTTAGTGCTTCTTCTGCAACAGACTGCACGAAGAGGTCAGTCCTGGTTGCCTCATTTCTCTTTGGGATCCTCAATTTTGCTTGCACGTTTGTGTGCATATCAGTGGCTGGAGTCAGAGCTTGGTACAGGTCTCCTCTGAATGACTGGCTGGCACCTCCTAACCCCCACAAATGGCACGGCTGCTTCTCTGGCTGCATCAAGGCCCATTCCCCAACCAAAATGTAGCTTCTGTTGTCCTGGCTGAAGTCTTGTTTTCCATTCCAGTTATGGATCCTTGCAGTTTACAGGGAGAAGGGGAAGAGTGCTCTTCTTCATATAACACATTAATATTGAACATGATTGCCTAAAAAGTGCTACATTTGGCTAGATTTATTCTGTCCACATGAATGCTTCGTTTATTTCAGCGAGCCAAGCACATGCTAAATGTCCAGCTAAAAAGCGATGGGATTTCAAAATGCTTGTTTCGGATCACAGCTGTGGTTGCTATGGAACCAACCAATTAACCAGACAAACTGCGAAAGTGAGACTTAGAAAAAAAAAAAGATTTTTCAAGGCTTTAGCAAGTTTCAAGCTTGTGCAAAAGTTTGCCTTAATTCTTACCACTTTTTTCAATCACCTTCTCTAAAACAGCAGATAAATCTCTTTTCCTCTTCCTGATCTCACAGAACTTTTCACTGTGCAGATCAACCCTTTTTGAAGTGTATTTGAAGCCATCTGTAAGTGGAATTGGGGAGGCATCTTGGACGAATGGGCTGGACTGAGTTGCCATCTTGAAAACATCCCTCTTCGTTTCGCTACCCCAATGCTTCTTCACGGCACTTCCTTCACTGATTGATTTCCAGTCAACTTTTTGACTTCTCAAACACCCAACCGGTCTTTGTGTTCAGCTGATGCAGCAGTGCGTGGATCAGCCTTGCTACACAATTCCTCTCTGAGATCACACACACACTTTGGCCAGACCAGCTGGCGATGTTGATGTGCTCTCAGCAACCCACTAGAAAGGCCCACTAGGCAGTTCCAGGAGGCAGAGGAGGATCTTCCGATAGCAACCGGAGCCGTTTCTGGCCCCGCATACCGGCCGTGGCTCCAGGGAGCCAGGAGGGGCTTTCACACCCCTGCCTGGAAAAGGCAATTCAGCTCCTGCCCACTGTGAGCATGGCAAGGCCATTCAGTGCTACTCGATGAACTAAAGGCCTTCAGAGTTCAGGGACACCCAGCGAAAGGAAACCCTGCGTGGAAGTGGGGCATTTCTGGAGGCATCCGACGCTGCCGTCGCTGGAAAGCTGGAGGAGCTCAAGGCCCGTGGACTCCCGAGCTCTCCTCTTGGTTGCCAGAGAAAAGCTGCCCCAGCCGGGCAACAGCGAAGCTCGAATCTCTGCCTCCATCCGTCACAAGCTCCCCAAACCTGGTTTCCAGGCAGGCAGATCGGGGTGTCAGCAGAGCTGAGGAAAGAGCTGGACGCAGTCGGTAGGAAAAAGGCTTCAAATGACCTCCTGTGGCTTCTTTGCTTCCCACCCCCCACCCCCCAAAGTGGGGAATCTTTGTATAGGAAAGATGGTTGTACAGATTTTTGTGTATGCAACATTAAAGGATTATATTGCTTTTTTTACATGTGTAAGTTGAATTCAAGCATGTGATCTAGGGATGAACTCCGGCAGAAGGAAGAGGGTTGCTGTCACCGTAATACGCCTCTGTGAAACACCCTGGGGTGAGGACTGAGGCAGTAATCCTGCTTCCAAAGGCCCAGATCCACCTCCCTGCCCCACTTCCCCCAGACCCACATCTCTCCTCTCCTCCTGCTGGGGACCCCTTCTCCCACATCCCCTGCATCTGGGCAGAGAGCCTAAAAAAATGACTTGCCACCTCATCTTTTGTTTCATGAATAAATAAAAAGCACAAAAAGGCCCGTCTTGCCTCCTTGGCCCCTGCGGGCGTTGCGCTCCCCACGGATGGCTTTCCCTCAAAGCTGTGGAGAAACAAGTCGCCCCCTTTCCTCCTGACCCTCCTGGGGGGCAAAGGGGTGAGCTTGGGCTCCTGGCTCGCTTCGCCCCTTTGTGTTTGGCTGAAATTGGCCCTCTGGCGGCAGAGCCCCTTTGGTCAAGGGCGAGCGAGGGACTCGGACCTCCCGGGGGGCTGGAGCTTAACTGCAGGAGTGCATTTGCTGCACCTTTACGGGGTGGGCATCGATGTCTTAGCGCAGTTCAAGGCCTCTTTTTCCCTCAACGAAAACATTGCAGGGCAGGTTGTGCAGAGGGAGAGTGACGGGCCCCAAGTCCCCCTCGGGGCTGCGGGTGGACAGGACCCTGGCCCTGGGCTCAGGAGTGCAAGGAGGCCTCCAGGGAGGAGCATTTGCCCCCCACCCTCCAAGCGCCAGGGAAAGTGGGGCGTGCCCACCATTCCCTGCTCCTTGTGCTGCTGGTCACAGCCCCCTTCCTTCCATGAGTGTGGCCAGGCCTCTCTTCTATCTGCTGGGCTAGCTGCCCTGCCTGGGCCCACCCCAAAAGCACACAGATGGGGAGGGCTTCTCCTTCTTCCCTTCCCAGGACCAGGGACTGTTCCAGCCTGGCCAGGCAGCGCCTGCAGAAGAATCCCTGACAAGTTGGGGGCATCTAACCAGTTGGTTTTCTGCTGGACAATCCCAAGCTCAAGATCCTGCAAAAAAGACCTGCAGCCACAACGATGGCGTTTGCTTGGACCTCATGTTAAACATTTCCTGCAACCCCTCCCAACCAGCTCCCTTTGTATTTTCTCAGGTTCAATAGTCCTCTGAATGGTATATACTGTTCCCTTTCAAAGGTCTCCTACAGGGATGTCTGCCCCCTGTTCTGAGATTCTCCCCCTCCCCAACAGTGAGGGAGTCCATGTGGGCTCCCACTCAGCCTGCTGGGCGCTGATCTCCCTCCAGCTTGCTCAAGAATCAGAATGGCCTTCCTGCCCCATCTCTGCATCTCTGTCCCAGGGGGGTGGGGCGGGGCGTTCCCAGGGCAGGCGTTGGAACCAGAAGACAATAGGGACATGCTGGGAAGGGAAGGGATGGGGGCAATGAATGAGGAAGACCTCGTATGCCAACGTTTCACAGCATCCAGCTATGGGGCATAGGCAGCGAGCTCTCGATGGGGGAAGGACACAGGTGGCTGATCTGCACCCACGGGAACTATCTGGCGTTTCCTCTGCGGTGGCTTCTGACCCTCGAGGACAGAGCAGCAGCACTGCTCCGTGGGGACTGAGAATGTCGGCCTCCCTCTTCTGCCTTCCTCGGTGGACAGTGCAGCAGGAGCCCCTCGCCACAGAGCGCATTCACCCCACCCCCTTTTCTGCTGTTTTCAAAAAAGGGAGCGACAACGCTGTGCTCCTGTAATGCGATAGTGCAAAGATAACCTTCTCCCCAAAGGTCATGGCGCACAGAAAACATGCTTATTTCACTTATAGGGAGGAGTACAGAACTACAGGCCATGAGACGTGGCAGGCGCTCGGCTACTTAAAGCCTGCTCCGACTGCCACCGGGGTAGCTGCTCCCCGGAATCGAGGGAGGCCCCGAGAGGCAGGGCGCTGCTGCCTCCCTGCCTTCCAGCAGGCCCTGCAGCTGGCAGACCTGCCCTGGGGAAAGGCCCTGCGCCAGAGCCCCTTGCATTCCTCGCAGGGCGGTCCTCTCGTGCCCTGGGGCAACAGTCTGCAAAGGTTATAATGCTCCTGATCTCACTCATACTCCGTTTGCAATTTAATTGCAGTCTGTCTGGGATCAAACAGAAAATCAGAGCGAAGACTTCACCAGCTAGGCAATCTGACCACCCACCATGCTGCAAGGGGCTGAGAAATCCTGCCAGACCCTGTCCCCTAACCCACCGGTTGTCAAATGCCCCTCCAAGGCAGAAGGCAGCGGGATGATCTTCCCAAAACCTACTTCTGGAGATACCGTTCATGAGAGCTGGCAGCAAGCAGCGCATTAAAGGCCTTCTCATACGGGGTGGGGGAGGGGACAGAGCAAAAGAGGTCTGTTGCAGACCCCCGCTTCTCTTCCGGCTGGCAGAGACCCCGGTCAACCCAGCAGCCAGCTCCACCCACAGGCTCTCCTGCCTCCCGAGAGGCTTGCAGTAACTGAGAGCCTATTTTGGGGGGGGGGGGGGGG